ACATTCTGGCTCCCTGACAGGGGTCTCCCATCCCCCCCCTTCCTCCCCAGGGAGAAGGGCCTGGTTCCCTTGTCTTCAGGGGACCCTCAACAGCTCCTCCCAGCTCCCAGACACTCACATTCACACAGACACCCCCACACCGCTCCCAGGGACCCGGCCTTCTGTGCTGAGAGCAGAGAGCCCAGGGTCCCACACATGGGTTTGCAAAGGGCAGGCCTGTGGGGAAGGGGGGGAAGGCGGAGGGGAGCAGAGGCGAGAGGGAAGGTGTGAACGTGTGGACCCGTGCGCCGGCTCTGGGTGCCAGGGTCTGCTCGTCACCACCCTTAAAGCACGTTCCTCGGGTCAAGACTGATCAAGGCCCCCGCCGTGCCCTCAGCCTTGGGTAAGACGGCCTGGCCGTGGGGCACCCTGTTTGGGGAGGGGTTGGTGAGCACACCGGGAGGCGAAAGGGCGAGTTTAATGGGGGAGACCGACGAGACCCTGCAGACAAGGAGAATCAGAGGGACCGTTTATGGCTCTGATGTTAGGGAAGGTGGCTCTGGGGTGCCTTTTTTTCGTTAAGTTTATTTATTTATTCATCTTTGAGAGAAAGAGAGAGAGCATGAGCAGGGAAGGGGCAGAGAGAGGGGAGGACAGAGGATCTTGAAGCAGGTTCCACGCTGACATCAGAGAGGCCGATGCGGGGCTCGAATCCACAAACAGTGAGGTCACAACCTGAGCCAGAGTCAGACGCTTAACCGACGGAGCCGCCCAGGCGCCCCTCTGAGGTGACATTTTAAGATGAGATGTCAACCACCAAGCAGTGAGCTGGAGGCAGAATTTACCTACAGGTGCGGGAGACAGCAAGGGCCTTGGTGCCGCCGTTGGGGTAAGGTGCATTCCGGAAGGGCTGGGTAGCTTCCTGAGAGTGCTGGGGACACAGAGGGCCCTGTGTTCAGGTGAATTTACGATGCATTTTCACATCAACCAGGAAGCACATGGGAATGTCTGCTGCTCAAACAGAATCAACCAGAGGTTTGGACATCTGGAACATTCTGGAGAAAAAAAACACAACTGACTCCACCCGCTTCAGATCTTTCTTCCCTGGGCCACTTGACCAGGTGTGGGGATGTCATCTCACAGGGGGCGAAAGACGGGCGGGGGGGCTGTGCTCTCCAGAACATGCACAGGTGAAGATTCACCTTGTCCCCAAATGCCCACCCACTCAAGCCCACAGGAGAGGGCTTGCTTCACCCGCGGCCATGGCCTGGCTGCCCCAGAGAAAAGTCTTTGACGAACAACTGATTACTTCTGACTACGGAATAGTGACACTCAGGCAGCCTGGTGGGGAATCAGGGTGAGGCGTGACACAGAATTTTTGGTGTGTCAGTTTTGACCTTCAAACGTAAAATCGTATTTGCCCTGATTTCCACATTTGGGACATTTCCTTAAATGTTGTGGCCTTAGCGAGGGCCACGCTCACCTCACCCCGATCCTGGCCCCCTTTGCGCCATTCACACTTATCAGGAGTACCTTTATGACTACGCCCACCCAGGTTCCGGAAGTTTCCCTGCACCCACCCACAACTTCCCCTGGAATGGACTCCCCTGTGTGGAATAATGTTGGAGAAGCGTATACATCCAGGGGCGGGAAAAACTTGCCCACACTGCAAATGTGAAAGGCCCAATTAGTGGCCCAAACAAATGACCCCAGTGACCTTGACCTCTGACCTAATCGGATCCCCTGCCGCAGGCTGGGGCTGCCCACGGGCTGAAAGCCTGTACTGTAAGAGCTGCTGTTTCTCACGGTGCCAGATGGTCTGCAAATGTCAAAGAGGGGAGGAAAGGCCAAAATTTCCATAAGTTAGCTTGAGCCAAGGGCTCAAGGGCTCAAGGGCTCAAGGGCTCAAGGGTGGGTGGCTCTCTTGGCCGGTCTCGGTCTCGAGAGGAGAGGGGGCTTGTGAAGGCAGAAGAACAAGAGGGGGAGGTCTTTCGAGGTCCAAGTGCTTGCTCTGGGCCAGGTGCTGCGGGCGGAGGCGCGGGCAGGAGGCGGGGTTTGCAGAGCCCCGGATGTGGTGATAAGGGATTGGGACTTCGTCTGCCAGGAGATGGGGGGATCCGAGGAGGTTCTGAAGCAGGTTTTAGGAATGATCTGATTCAAATTGCTTTCAAAGTTAGATCAAAGACAGGAGAGGAGAGAGCCATTGGATGTTTAATAGAAAAACGTACCTAGGGGGCGCCTGGGTGGCGCAGTCGGTTGAGCGTCCGACTTCAGCCAGGTCACGATCTCGCGCTCCGTGAGTTCGAGCCCCGCGTCGGGCTCTGGGCTGATGGCTCAGAGCCTGGAGCCTGTTTCCGATTCTGTGTCTCCCTCTCTCTCTGCCCCTCCCCCGTTCATGCTCTGTCTCTCTCTGTCCCAAAAATAATAAACGTTAAAAAAAAAAAGAAAAAGAAAAACGTACCTAGTTCATAGAAAAGACGTATTGGGGTCCCTTACAAGGGGTCCTAAAGTGTCCCATGCTAGAGAAAAGGCAGGCCCCAATACTGCACGCCTCTGGAAAGGGACACATTCATCCCGGGACTCGCGAAGTCACCTGCTGGGAACAGCGCATGGTAGGGTGACCCCAAGCTCCGGGGGCTCGCCCAGCACCCTAGCATCAAGGGGACTTTCCCAGGCCGCTCTGTGAGAGGCAAGCTCAATGCTCCGAGAAATGCCAGAGGAGGAAGGGGAGGGCACGAGAAATAAAGGCTTTTTCACTGAGAGCCGCTAGCCAGTTGTTCCAAGCGGCATTGGAGAACACTCGTAAAAGCGGGGCCGTGCGGCCACGGACGGCTTACAAAGGCCCCCACGCACGTACTGTCTTGCCCTGCACCCCGCAAACTACCCTGCCCCCCAAGAGGGCTGTGGATGCCTTCTATTTTAAAATAAAGCAGATCAAGCCATAGAGGCTCAGAGAGGTTAAGTGGCCTGTCAGAGGTCACACAGCTACTAAATAGAAAGCCAGACCGGAGGCTGCTAGGATGGGCGGCCGGGGTGGGGCGGGGGTGGGGGGCAGGGAAGGCTGTCAGCGGGTCCGGACGCATCGTGAAATAGGTGAGGCAGGAGGACGGAGGTCCTAATGCCTGACGATGAGGCGTGCCTGTCACCCGCAGAGATGGTTCCAAAGCAAACAAGCCCATCTCGGGGATCGTGCCAAAGACCCCCAAAGGCCCAGGTTGGGTTGGAAACAAAGATCTGACTCGTGGGACACAGCGATTGTTCACAGAGCTCTTCCCGCTCACACCCAGGAGGGTCCTCACCCTCCGCACAGCCGTGGGGAGGTGTGGCTGGTTAGTCTCATCAGGCTCGTGTCGCTCCCGTCATCTGGAAAGACCAGCAGAGTACGGAGTTGCATCACGTTCAGAGATGAGAAGGTGGGGAGGCTCAGAGAGGGCGACGGTCTCACTTACACTCACACAGCAGGGCCCGGTCTTTAACACTTCGCAGCTGTGTGATTTGGACAATTTGCGAGGCCCTCTCTGGGCCGACGTGTCCGCATCTATAAAGCAGGGTTCAAATACCGGGACTGAATTAGGATTGAAGATGCCGGGATTAAATCTAACCGGAGTCTGCTTCTGGACGTGCCGGGCTCGGGCTGGGGGCCCGGCTCTGGGGCCCGGCCAGCGGGTGCCCGTCCCCACCCGGCCCGAACGGAGAGTCAGACGTTCCCCCGTGGCCAGTCTCGCCCCGGGGACTTTTTCCGCAGCACCCTCGCCCGGTGCCCTGCGGGAGCCACACACGTCCCTGCCGGGACATAGCTCCAATAATGACTCACACCTTCATTTTTAGCATGCGTCCTCTCTGAGCCCGCGGCTCTGTCTTTGCCGGGCAGCTGCCTGTCTGGGGGTCAGAGCCTGCTTCTGGCCTCGCCGCCCGCAGGCCTGTGCCCACAGCCCGGCGTCCAGTCCGAAGACCAGGCCTGCCCTGACGGCCTGCCCGTCCCCGGAGGGAGGCAAGTGGGGACCGAACGGATCCAAGGTGCCTTTGGAGGCGGGAACGTGTTCTTCTGCCGACATCTAACGGTGCGTGTCTGGACCCAGACTCGGGATTCCCCGGGCTTTGAGCGAAATCACGAAAACTCTGCTTTCGGGGTCTGCGGCCAACTTCCCGGCTTGCAGTTCCCGCGGCTCTTCCCCGTTCTTGTTCCAGAAGGGGGTTGATGGCATCGCTTCACAGCCGCGTGCAGAGGAGTCCACGGCCGAAAAGGCTTCCGCGGCTGCTGACTCGCCAGCTCACACCTTCGGGGTTTCAGGAGCTTGTAGCTGAAAAGGCCTATTCTTGCC